TGGATTTAATAACTAAACTAACTAAAATCCTAATGAATCAAATAAAATCTAAACAAAAGAAATAAAATAAAATAAAATAAGAGAATTTTCTAGTTCACAGTTTCGTCTATTCCCTCGATCAAAACGAACATACACTTGACTAAAGACACGAACCTCATTCAAAACGAAATTGTGAGTAACACAAAGTCCAATTTTTACAGTATACTCCAACAGAATCTCCAATTTTAACATACTCGACCCTAGCATCTGCTGAAACACCGTATGCCAACATATGAAAGACAAGAATCACATGTTGGAAGTAATGATCATGATTCTTGGCTGCATTGACAATTCAAAGGAACAACGAACGAGACGTTCAATATCTTCTACGAAACATGGTCTCGTTATACAATGGATTATCTAAAAAATAATCATTGCACAACCTACGATCAACATCTCTCAATCACGATTAATAAAAATATGCCCAGGAACAAAATCTCAATGGGATGCTTGGCAGTTTTGTTGTTGGAGAAGTTGTTGAACGATCATGTTATTATTCATGATAACACGTGTTACCACCTTTTGTTTTATACGAAGAGTATTAATAATTAGGATATTATCATCATCATCATCAGGTGAGGAAGTTGACGAACTTCTAAAACTAAAATTCATTGAATGATTAGAAATGTCACATAAGAGAAATATGATGAGATGTTTGAAGAGACTGAAGTATGTGATAATGTGCATATGTTATGTTTTATAGTAGTGCATTTGTGACGTTTGGGAATCTTTGCAGAAAGTGGTCATTTCGAGTCAAAGTATTGAAAGAGAGAGAGAGAGAGAGAGAGAGAGAGAGAGAGAGAGAGAGAGAGGGTCTTTGCAATGAGTGGTCATCTTCAGGTGGAGCATGGAGAAGTGCGAGAATCTTTGCAGAGTGTGGTCATTTTAGATTGAAGCATTAATATACGTGAGGGTCTTTGTAGAGTGTGGTCATTTTTGGATTAAAACTTGAAGAAGTGTGAGAATCTTGCTGAGGGTGGTCATTTTCAGACCAGACCATGGAGAAGTGTGAGAACCTTTGCAGAGAATGGTCTTTTTCAGGTCAAAAATTGGAGAAGAGTGAGAAACTTTGCATAAAGTGGTCATTTTTTTGTCAGAACATGAGAACCTTTGCGGAGAGTGTCATTCGGGTTAACATGGAGAGGGGAGAGACTCTTTCACTATAAAAGAAGATATGGTATTGTAGTAGCTACATCCCAACATATTCAATTCATATACTAAAACATTATCGCATCTAACTTTTTGTAAAAATGTCGATCCATTTATCTTTCTAACTACGATGAAGATATTCGTTAACTTCTAGTTTATATGAAAATTCTCAGGACCCAATGATTGGGGTATACCAATCATTTAATAGATATTGGTCCCATATAGAAGAAGCTTTCAACAAAGGAAAATTTAAGCATTGGAAGATCCGTACTGATAAGTCTATGCAAGCACGAATTCAAACAATCGACAAAGCAGAGACTCCATGCATGCATAAAAGGAGTAAAAGATATGCTTCAGAGTGGCACTTGAAATGAAGGTACAATGAGTAACAAAATCTTTATATTTTTTACTTATCAAATTTATTATTTTTATTAGCTAAGTTAATTGTTTATGCAAAATTGTAGATGGTCAAAGCAAAAGTGTTGTTCACACAAGATTCTAAATTCAAATTTAGATAGAAATACGATCATGTTTGAGATATTATTAAAAACTTTGAAAAATTTAAAGATGGCTCAACGAGGAGCAAGAAAATATAATCCGTTCATTATCCTTCGGAATCAGATAATCCAAATCTCGAGTCTTCCTGATATGCATCCCCGAGCATTTCTTCATTTTCTCTAAACTTAGACGACTCAAATCAATTTGCTGGTGATTCTCCATCTAAAGTCCTATTGAGGTGATGAAAGCCAAACTGAAAAGTAACATAATTGATGATTCATCATCGATCATCAACACCGTGTAGGAAGCAAATAATAAACTTCTTGAAGAGCAGGAAAAGACAAATGAACTAATGAAACATCAAATGAAGATGCAAAACAAATCACGCTCGAAAAGAACTGAAAGGCGAAAATAAAATTCTATTTGAAAATATTAGTTCCATAAAATATCATAGAGTTCGAGAGTATACTGAAGGTGGAAAGGCACGGATTTTGTAGAAAATAACTCAACAAGCCCAATTAGATCAATTTCCAACATACACATTTGAGCACTTCTTGGTGTCTATTTTGCTAGATTTCTAAATATATATATACGCTATTGAGTTTCATAATGTATGGTGTATTTTTTTTTTTTTTTTTTTTTTTTTTTTTTTTTTTTTTTTTGTATCTGTGTGATATTTTTCATGGTTTATGATGTATTTTTATTTCTCTTAGTTCTATGTTATCTTTCAATATTTTGTTAGAAGATCAAAATATCAATGTCAAAACAACGTATACCCAAGCGCAGGAATTAATATTTGGCTCAGAAGACTGGAAGAATTAGTTGTAAGGAAATGGCATGCGGTCGCCGCTGGAGTTGCTGCCGCGACTTTTTACACCTGCTAGACGACCGTACGAGAATTGTTCCTTACGAAGTCGACTCGTTTGTACCAAGGCTACTTGGTACATACTGACAAAAGTAAAAGCTTTAATTAGTTACCTCAAATTGATAAGCGAACCGCACGCTAATTCGTCAAAGGTAGCCGTGGACGATTTACTCGAAGTTCTGGTGAACGTACGTATCAGACGATATATTGTACGGTTTATTTTGTTTTTGCACATCGACATCACATATGAAAGTAGCAGCCTTGTGAAAAATGGATTCATATGATAATGAGTTCAAACTGAATGAGTATTTATATTTCTGCACATTACATTCTGTAAAACTGTCTTTTCTTTACTTTTCTTACATGATGAAGAAAGATGAACTGTTAAAAACAGCAGAGTGAGAAAACTATATGGCAGCCAACTAATCCCATCTCAGCTAGGCCGCCGTTGTTCCTCTCGAAGCCTCCAGCTCCTCCCTAAGAACCCTCATAGAATCCGAAACCTCCGCCTTGTACACGTAAAACCTCACGACCACCAAAAACAGCATAAAGTTTAAGACGTTGAGCACGGCAAAGAAGGCATAGTAATAATCCAAGTGGGACGCGTTGAGGTTGTTCCTTATCCACCCTTCATGACCGTCCCCCCTCGTGATCCTCGACACCGTCGAAAGCAAAAAGCTGCTGATAAAATTCCCGGCCCCGAGTGTAACCATGGAGTATGCCGTCCCCAGGCTCTTCATGCTCTCCGGCGCCTGATCGTAAAAGAACTCGATCTTCGCCACTTCCAAAAACGAGTCGGCCGCCCCCATCAGCACAAACTGTGGCAACAAGATGAAAATCGATAGTGGCACTTGGCCTCCGCTCTCGACTAACCCGTTGGACCTCGCGGCGCCGAGTCGAACCCTCTCGGTTAACGACGCAACGGCCATGATGATGATGTGGAAGCTCATGCCGATCCCCATCCTCTGCAGGAGCGTGATGCCTCTCGGGTTACCGGTCCATTTCCGAAAGATCGTCACAAAGTAGCGGTCGTAAAGGACCACACACACGAGCATCGATATAGTGACAAAGGCTGCCAGGCTGGCGGGGGGTATACTGAAGCCCCCAATGTCACGCCTCAGGGTAGTCCCCTGCTTCACGAAAAGGGTCCCGATCTGGGCCACCATTGTGCTCGGCACGAAAGTCACGATCAAAATTGGGATCATCCGCAGCATCTGCTTTGTCTCCTCGACTTGTGTGACGGGACACAGCATCCATGGGCTCGTGGAGCCTGTCTTCACGCATGCTTTGTTCAGGAACTTTAATGTATTCGTGGAATCGATTCGGTATTTCCCTTTCTGCTCGTAAAACTCAGAGTCGAGCTCGTAGAGGTCTTTAGGGTCCGCGGGGACGGGCACGCTCGATTTTCTGAGGGCGGCCACGATCACCTTAGCCATCTTAGTGAAAGGGCTGCCCGTGGGGACCTTGTGACGGTAGAACGGCGTGCCGGCCAAGAATATGGCAATCGAAATGGCGAGGCCGATGGCCGGGAGGCCGTAACCGAGCGTCCAACCGACGTTGTCCTGTATGTAGACGAGCACCGTGTTTGCGAAGAGGGTGCCAAAAAAGATGCTGAACATCCACCAGTTGAAGAAGGAGAGCTTGTGGGCTTTCTCGCTCGGCTCGAACTCGTCAAACTGGTCGGCCCCGATAGTCGAGATGTTGGGCTTCGTCCCGCCCGTGCCCAGTGCCAACGTGTAGAGTGCGCCGAAGAACACGGCTAGCTGCAGTGTGTTGGCCTTCTCGCAGTGGGCCCCACTTGGGTCCGAACATGGAGGTGGTTTCAGTGGGTGTATTGATACCGATAGAGTTAGAAGACACATTCCCTATTATACAATCAAATCAAAAAGAGAGATCACTTTTAATCATTCCGCAAAATAATTTCAATGCACAAATGTCACGGTCTCGTTACGAAATTATTTCGTTTGAGTTTGTAACCGTTAGATCAATTATTTCCGACGACTACATGATGATCTAAACGGTTACAAACTCCAACGGAATAGTTCCGTAATGGGACCGTAGCATTTCCAGCAAAATTAACATGAAAATTCACGCTAATAGTTGATTGGATGTAAGTTAACGTTACCAACCTAAACCTAACATGTTACATGTGATGATTCGTCGTGTATATTTAATGAGCAAATTATTGTACGTATTGTGAAATCATTTATTTCTTCGAGACAATTAACGACGATCAATGAGACAGCGACATGTGACTATGTCAACCTAATCCCCCACTTAAGGAAACCATTAAAGTGGTTCACATTATGTGGTTAAATATAATTTTTTTAATACATAATTTAATTCAATTTAACTGTTGTTAATTTACTGATATAATTAAATAATAGTATCAATTAATTATTTTTATATATTACATAAACTTTAATTTACTATTCATCTACTCATATAATTTTAATTTTCCACCACTTTCAATCACATTTCTTCTACTTTTATATCAAATCAATTTAGATCATTATATTTAAAATATTATTTTAATACAACTCAAAATCTCATTCAAGTCTAACTCAATTAAGTTTTTTTTTTTCTTAATGAATTCCAGTTATCTAACAAATCCAATAAAAACCAAAATAA